CCTAAACTCTATACCTGTCATTCATATGTGCACTTTGTAATCATGTGTAAACGACCCAAAGACTTTCATGCCCTCTTCCTTTCCTTAGTTGCAACTAGAGATTATGGGGCAGCCATGAACTCTCCTCAGAATTTTGGCACTGAAGATGTAGTTGACACCAGATTTTTCTAAATATTAAAATAAAATTCACGTAGTAAAATTAATTACTTTGAGGTATATAATTCAATGGCATTAAGAATCCACCTCTATCTTGTTCTAAAATGTTTTCATCACTCTGATATTCTCCTCAAAAGCTCCCCACACGCACATCTGCTGAGTTTGGCTGCTGGGCCTGAAGTGGGAGCAGAGTCCTGCTGGAGCAGGAAGACAGTGCCAGGGAGCCAACCGCCTCTGTTCCTTACTGAAGAACACCAAGAGTTAGAAACAGAGCCAGTGACTTCGCAGCGCACCTCATTGGCCAAATCCACTGAGATTAAATGAGGACTTGAGTTTTTCTTTTTGGTTGCTTCCTGTGTGATTCAGGTGTCCACTTTATGAGTTAGAAGTAGTTTATTTACATGTCTTGAACACCTACTAGACAGAAGTGATGAATTTCATTTTCAATGTAGAATCAGAAACTTGGGTGTACTTGAACAAATTCCTCCCATCTTACAAACGAGCTTAGAGAAAACCAGAAATGTTCATTACTCGTTTGAAGTCACTTAAGTTAATGATATGGCCAGCACTCAAAGCAAAGCTGTCCTGGCGTGCAGTCTAGTACTGTCCATTTGGAAGTTAGATGGCTGGTACAGTGATGCTCTAGTGACCCGTCTCCCCCTGGGCTCAGTGGTTCTCAGTCAAGAGTGTGATTCTACAGTCTTCCCCACAGGCCCTGATGGACGAGGTTCAGATGCTCCAAGATGAAATCAACTGGCTTCAAGCGTCTCTCGCAGAGGAACTGGTGTCTGAGTCTCAGGAGTCCGACCCCGCAGAGCAGCTGGCCCTGCAGTCCACACTCACTGTCCTGGCGGAGCGGATGTCTACCATTAGGATGAAAGCAGCGGGGAAGCGGCAGCTGTTGGAGGTAACCAGAGCTCTGGAGTCAACTCAGCTTCTGAAGGCACTTAACGCCCTCTTAGCCAGTGTTCTAGTTAGTGATGGGATCTCGCATTTTTCTTCTCTTTTTTTAACGTCTTCCTTATATGTGTATATGTGTTGTGCACATTTCCCTCACAGCACCCCCTCTCCCTCATCTCACCCTTCCCCGCTCCCATTGATTCCCTTTGTCCCCTTAGAAAGTTTTACTTCTAGCCAGGCATGGTGGCACAGTCTTTAATCTCAGGACTCTGGACGCAGGCAGATCTTTGTGAGATCAAGGCCAGCCTGGTTTACATAGGGAGTTCCAGGCAAGCTGGGGCTGCAGAGACCCTGTCGCAAAAATAAACAATCAAAAATAAAAAGTTTTAGTTCTACTTTCATGTCACATTTATAAATGCATAATTTTATGTATCTATAAATGAAATATAGGTACCACACGAGAGATTTCCTCCGTGATTTCCTCCAATTACAACCATTTTTTTTGCAACTGACATAACTAAGTTCTTTATGGCTGAAAAAAATCCATCATATAGATAGATAGATAGATAGATAGATAGATAGATAGATAGATAGATAGATAGATAGATAGTTTATATATATACATATATATGATATATCATTAAACAGTGGATTTCTGACTTTACCCAAGACTCAAGTAACACCAGCTACCTCCTCCCACAGGGGTACATTGTCTAAAGTGCATAGGGGCTGCCCTTTTATATGGAACAGCTGTTCATCAGTCAGCCACAGGCCCTACCATTCTCTAAACACTTTCCAGAAATTGAGATTAAGTGTCTTACCATCTAACAACTGCCTCATGCCGTTGGTTCGTTCTAATCCTTGACTAATTTCCATCACTCGCATGACTGACTGATTCTGTAGGAGTTTTGAGGATGCCTTCCCTGTTCCACTCTGGGGCACATTGATTCATTGGGGATTGTTTAATAGTACCAATATTAAGATAAAAACATTCTGATTTACCTTTCTGAGATGTGGCCTAGGTATAGGTTTTTGTTTTGTTCGCTAGCGGATTCTGATGGCTCTTGCTGCTCAGTGTTCTGTCACCTTTTCCTTAATTCCACAGGAAAAGCTGAATGATCAGCTGGAAGAACAGAGACAGGAGCAGGCTCTTCAGAGGTATCGCTGTGAGGCAGATGAACTAGACCACTGGCTTCTGAGCATGAAGGCTACCCTGGACATTGCGCTTGGCACACCCAAGGAGCCCATGGACATAGAGGCCCAGTTGGTGGACTGTCAGGTACAGAGATGCACTCTAAGGAAATGTGACTATGCCACAAAACAATTTTTAAAGTTCAGAAAATATACTGGTAAGGTCTTGGAATGGGAATGGGTATGCGAATTTCCACACACCCATTTCATTGAAGTGAAATTCAAACCATTCATGAAATTCAAACCTGAACTTAGTTTTTGAAGCAAAATTCTCCCATCATATCTACTTGGGAAATTCCGGCTTTCTTACTGGGCATAATGGTTCAGACCTATAAGCCTGTGCCCCTAGCATTTGAGCTTAAAGCTTTTCCTTTTTTCTTTTCTGTTTTTTTGAGATAGGTTTCACTGTATGCCCAGACTGACCTAGAATTCAATATGTAGCCCAGGCTGGCCTCAGAATCATGGCAGTCCTCCTGGCTCAGTCTTCTATGTGCTAGGATTACAGGTATGAGCCACCACACCCAGCTTCTTTTTTGTATTTTTGAGAGCTAAGTTCTCAGTTTGTAAAGCAGGTTGATCTGTGATTCATGACCTTCCTGCCTCCACTTCCCAAGTGCTGGGATTACATGTGTGCACCAACATGCCTAGCTAAAATTTTAGCTTCCTAAAGAACATTTTAGAAGATTGTAGATACCAGAATATTTATGCGATCTGTATTTAGTATATAAAAAGAAATACAAACTCAACAAGAAGAATTAGTATCAATGAGTCACACTGAAAAGATGCAACTGGAAGCTTCCATATATGCCAGGTTACAGTTTTGGTTTTGGTCCTCAGAGGATACTTGGGAAACTTTTCCAACTGCCAGTTTGAGGAAGGCAGAGAGATGGTCTTGTCTTTCCAATGTATTTCTTCTTGTGTTAGTGCTCCAAGAATTGATATAGAGGTAGTTTCATAAAGGTTGTCTGGTTGGTTGGTTGGTTCGGTTCAGTTTTCGAAACAAGATATCATGTCACTGAGCTACATCCCCAGTTCCATAAAGTATTCTCAGTCTCAAGTGAGTGGTGTCCTTTTTTCAGTGTTTTCTAGAAGTACCAGGAATTGAACTTAGGGCCTCATACATGCTAGGCAAATGCTCTAACACTGGGTTATAACTCTAGCCTTACATAAAGGTTTTTATTGTTATTATTTATCATGGAATTTTCCAGCCACAGGTAAAAAGAATACATGTGATGACTTCTTGCTACTGTAACAAAATTCCTGAGGTAGTCACCTTAAAAAGAAGAAAGAGTTACTTTGATACTTAGAGATGGAAGATTTATCCATGCCGAAATGGTCCATTGCTTTACTCCTGAGGCAGCATAGTGCATCTCACTAGGAGCACATGGAAGAAGCCTCATCGTCTCACTGCTTAGTACAAAAGAGAAAGATATAAGCATCCATGATCCACCTAGACAGAGCACCTCCAATGCATAACTGCCCTGCCCCCCAACAAGACCCCACTTAAAGATTTCTACCACCTTCTGATAATGCCAAGATGAGGATCAAGCCTTCAATACATTGGTCTTTTAGGAGGTACTCTAGACCCAAATACAAAAGGAAACAATCAACTTGTATTTGCCCATCAATAAACTTCAGTGATTATCAACATTTTAGACTTTACATGCAGGTGAAGTGTACTTAAAAATCTCTCATGTAATTGTCTAGAGGAGGTCCGGAAATCCTTACCCCATCTTCAGGGTTAAAGATCTGTGAGCACAATTTCATATTTCTCCCATTTGGGATCAAAGGAAATATGCTGATGTCATATACTAATTGACTCTACTTTTTCTTGATGTATAGTACATCACATTGGACTTGCCCATTTTTATTTTGAGGCTCCTAATATGGATCGTTATCTCTTAGACTGTGAAAAGCCTTAAGAACCCTCTCCATGTGTATTCAAAGGATCACTCTCTATCTGGATGGTAGATAGAGGACCATAAGTGAGGGTTTCCTCTTCTTTTCTGCTGTTAGAGCGGGAGGCATCTGTTTTTAACATTTGCTTTAGAGCTTAAAAGCAATTCACAAGCTACTCTTTCAGACTTGTATTTTATGTTCTTTTCAGCCCCCCCCATCCACCCCTTTTAGATATATCTTTTCACAGAAATAGATACAGTCTACGATTCTGACAGTATATTTCAGGCCATTTAGAAAGTAGTAAAATAGTGCTCTCATAGTATTTTAAGGAATTAGAAAATCCTTTTTAAGTTGACAAAGAAGTTCATCATGTGATAGTTTTACTATCATTAATAATCCAGTATTGAAATAATAATAATAATGTTGTGGTAACTCTTAGACAGTGGCCCTTTCTCTATACCTGTTGATTATGTCAAATGTGCTTGCCACATATCTTTTCCAATGCATTTTTAATTATAAAATATATTATCTAAAAGAGAAGATTTTGGGCTACAGAGATAACTCAGTGATTAAGAGCACTGCCTGCTCTTGCAGAGGACCCAGCACCCACTGACAGCTAACAACTGTCTGTAACTCTAGTTTCAGGGAATCCAACACCCTCTTCTGACCTCTGCAGGCATTGCACGACATGGGTGCGCCTACATACATGTAGTAAATACACTCATACACATAAAATAAAAATAATAAATATAATATTTTAAAAAGAAAGAGAAGCAATTTTTAAAAGAATTCATACACTATCCCCTAGAAGTATAAAAAGCCAAGGATGCCTGCTTGCTTGGTCAATGACTCCTGAAGACTATGCTTGGAAACAGTCCGTCGGGGCTGGCGAGGTTTGAGAATTTTGTCTATCGTTCCAGAACATGCTGGTGGAAATAGAACAGAAGGTGGTGGCCTTGTCACAGCTGTCCGTGCACAATGAAAACCTGCTCCTGGAGGGCAAGGCTCACACCAAGGACGAGGCAGAGCAGCTGGCGGTGAAGCTGAGGGTGCTCAAGGGGAGCCTCCTGGAGCTGCAGCAGGCCCTGCATGATAGGCAGCACAACATGCAGGTGAGAACAGCTCTCATAGCTGGGGCTGACATGGCATTTGTGCCACTGTGACCACTTGCCTTTCTGTGTGTGGCAGGAGAGAGAAAAAGTTAGGGGATGAAGCACACATATGTACATGCCTTCTTCAGTTAACAATTCAGTGTGCTCTGTTCATTTGCACCCTGCCTGTGGCCTGAGTTTTCAGCTAAGCTTGTTAGCATTACTTAAATCTGAGGAATGTGGTCTGGAGAAAGAAAGGAAAGGGATCACCCCACCCCAAAATGTGAACACAGGTTGTGGATGAAAATCTGCTATGACATGTTTGCATTTCTTTAATTCCCCCTACATTCTACTCCTTAGATACATTCATGATATTTTCTGTTGTTTCTACAACTTGAGAATCATTCAATATTCTAGGTGAAATGAACCTTCTTACATTGTGATTCCAGACAGTCATTCCTGGTTTACGTTTACTTTGTTAGAGCTTTTGTGAATATTTTCCTGATAAATCTTTCATCTTCCCTCTGATTTCAGCCTTTCTGTGTCCTTACATCTTAGTTGTTTCTTTTAAAATTATTTATTTTTATTTTACATGTATGAATGTTTTGCCTGCATGTATGAAAACAAACTTGGAGGAGAGAACGGTAGCAGAGATGAGAGGGTTAATGAGGCTGGGGGAGTAAAGAAGCAGAGGGCACAATGGACTTACCCCAGATGGTTGTTAGCCACCAAGTGGGTGTTAGGAATTGAACCCAGGTCCTCTGTAAGAGCAGCCAGTACTCTTAACTGCTGAGTCATCCCTCCAGCATTAAATTTGTTTCTTATAAAGATCTAAATGTATTTCACTGGTTTTAAACATTTGTGTAATTAGAAAATCTCACACTTTTAAAGAACAAGTTTAACTTATTTAAATTTATGATAATTGATATGTGAATTTTTATTTTACTATATTTTCACTTTTTTTTTTTTTTAGACAGGGTCCTGTTATGTAGCCTAGGTTAGCCTGAAACTCATT